GCGGCCCCCGAGCTGCAGTACCGACTCCTGGTCGTTGGGAGGCAGCAGCGAGCGCGCGGAGGGGGGGGGGCGCGGTTAAAAAATTGAAAAATAGGGACAGCAAACTGAAGGGGATGGAGAAATAAAGTTGAAAAAGCAAGGGCACTAAGGAAAGACAAGAAACAAAGCATAAATAGAGAAAAATAAAGACAGCAAGCTGGATGAAAGTAGACAATTTTAAAAGCAATAGGGAAATAAGAAATTAACAAATAGTAATGCCAAACTAAAACAGATGTAGAAAGAAAATCTAAAAAGCTACAGCACTAAGAAAAGACAAGAAATCATTTTAAGAAAACCACAAAGGGAATAAAAGTAGGCATAGAAAGAACATTTAGAAAGCAATAGGCATTAGGGAAATAAAGGAAAAAATACGAAATAGGGAGAGCAAACTAAAATGGAGACATAGAAAGAAAATTTTAAAAGCAACTGCACTAAGGAAAGGCAGTAAACAAAACAAATTCAGCAAAATAAAGACAGCGAATAGGATAAAAGCAGACAGAAAATTTTAAAAGTAAGAGGGATTAAGTACATAAGAAAAAATTAAACAGTAGCAACAGCAAACCAAAATGGCGACGTAGAAAGTAAATTTAAAAAGTGAAGGGATTAAGAACAGAGAGGAAAAACATAAAATATAAGGTCCACAAACTACATAAATGAAGACATTGAAACAAATTTAACAAGTGATGAAGTAGAGGACAGGCAGGAAGAAATAAAAATCACAGAGAGGGAACCGGATAAATGGAGACATAGGGAGAAAACTGGGAAAGCAACAGGGTACTGGCCATACGGGTAAGAAGTGAAATATCAGGAGAGGGAACCGGATAGACAGCCACAGGGAAAGGACATGGGAAGAGTGATGGGGTGCAAAGCAGAGGGAATCACTGAAAGCAGAGACAGGTGGCTGGGTAGAGGGAGACCTGGAAATGCAATTTTCACAATCAATGGGGAAGAAGGCAGTGTGGGAAGAATGAAATGATAGCACGTGAGGGGCCGGAAAGGGAGAGGCATAGAAAGGAAACGTAGAAGGCGACACTGTACAGGGCAGTGCTAGCAGAAGAGCAAAAAGCTTTGGGGAGCCCGACAGCCCAAAACGGAGACAGAGGCAGGGACAGGCAAGGAGGCAGGCAGAGATCTGGAGAAGCACGTCAGGGATGGGCCGGGATGCGTGTGAAGGGACGCACGACTCACCGCAGTTCCTGGCCCCAGCAGGAGACCTACACTGCCCTGAGGCTTCTCTCTCTGCCTCTTATTCCTCTGCAGTGTAAACCCTTGGCCCAGCCCCATCCTCACCTCACGGGTCCTACCTGGGCTGCCCTAGCCCACAGCTGGAGCCCATTGGGAACAGGGGGCCATTACCCCAGCCCCACAGCACAGCACATCACATCACCCTCTCCCCTGGACCCAACTACAGTCACCGACCCCAAGCCCAGCAGCTGGAAACACATCCAGGAGCGCAAAGGAGGCAGCAAAGGTTTGTTCCTTCACACACATCAGAAATTCTGGCAGTGAGTTGGCTACAAGGCTCCGTGCCCAAAGGCAGCACAACAGAGGGAAAAGAGGGAAGAGGAAAGCAGGAGGAAGGATATAGGGAGGTAGGGAAGAGGTGTGGGACAGGGAGCCAGAAAACTGGCTACTGGGAACAAGAGAGGGATGGGGAACCACACAGGGGTGTTGAGAGAGAGAAATGGAGCGCAGCGAGGAAGAGGATGGGGAGATGGAGTAGAGAACCACAGGAACAGGGAGATGGAGCAATGAATAAGGAGGGGGGAAGCAGGGGAGAGAGATGGAAGGGACCAAGCAGGACAACAGGAACAGCAGAGAGGGACAGAGAGAATGAGAGACACATAGACAGGAGGACAGAGAGACAGGGCGTGGGAGGATTTTACAACAATCGGGAACTGGATAGAGGGAGACAGAGAGAAAACTACAAAAGAACAAAGCAGAAAGAATTATAAAAAGACAGGAAGCTGGATAGAGGCAGTCATAGAAAGAGAAATCGAAGTGACAGACGCAGGAAAGAATTAAAAAAATAGAGAATGTAAGATGATGCCCCCCAGACAAATTATGATTTTCCCACTGAACCTTTTCTCAAATATGTTCCTATTTCTGCAGGCCCCATGTACTTTGGTTCATTTTATTTCCAGGCTGTATGCACAGGATCAATTTTCTGATTTCCAGAAATAGAAGCAGAAGCTGATTCAGTCCAGTCTAAACATTGTGAACTAAACCAAACTGCCTGTAATAGATAGCTGTACTTTAGACACCACCTCAGAACCAGAGAAGTTACGCTGTTGTGAAAAATGGGGAAAACAAGGCATTCAGGCTGAGGGGGTTGAACGGCATTCTGCTGATGGTGGGAGGTTGGAAAGAAACAGTTAAGATTATTAGACTGTACTTAGTGTTGCAAAGTGTGCTATTATTTTTAATTTTGAAGTCAGTAGAAAATAGTGTGACATTCATTTCTTGTGTGCTGTGTGAGTTCTCCTCAGCATTCCTATGCACCATCTTACCTTTGTGTCATGGCAGCTTTGCTTTTGTAGCTGAGAAATCCAGTTCTAACTGCACTTCCCCCCACCCCCATTGCTCACTTCAAATGCTCATCCAATTCCAAAGGTGGCCTGCGTGGCATCTGCAAAACCAAAGAGAAAAGCTTAACTGAGCTGCCACATGATTCTCTGCTCTTAGTCACCTACACGTCTGACAACCACCTCACCTTCTCAGACTGCTCATCAGTGTCCAGCTTCTGCTCCTCCAAGTCTGTTTGCAGCACCTGCAAAAAACAAAGCAAAAGACACATGCCCAAAACCGCAGCTTGCGCGCCCCTGTTCCCATCTCCCGCTCCTTTACATTGGCCACTTGCCCATCCAGCCTCTGCTGTTTACAGGTTGCCATGCTGAGGCTCGGATATCATGTGTAATAAAAAAAAAAAAAAAAAAAAAAAACAAGGGATGCTTATAACGTCACCAACAACACAACACCTGAAAAATAACTGCTACTTCAGCCCACCAGTCATTGCTCACCTTGCCCAAGTTAGCTCCCATGCCGATATCCTGCTTCACACCTTCAAAATAAAAAAAAAAAAAGCCAAACCTGTAAGTTAGTCGTATAGCCACCAGTTGCATCTTCTCTCTGACACCATGCACCAACCCACCTTCTTACAGCACTCTGCTCGCCTCTGCTCCATTGCCCTTTGGTGCATGGCTTGTCCCTCTGCATCTGCAAAAGCAACGTTGAACAAGTCACCCGGATGTGGAGCAATAGCTTAACAAATCTAGAGGTCTTCTTTGCACCTAGGAATACCATCTAGATTCCCTGCCTGGCACACACTTGTATTTTGCATAAAAGACCCTGGACCCTCTCTCTACCCAAACGTGTCCTATCCTGAACTGTCCTCTCCACTACACTGAATTTAAAACTGCTCCCTGCCACTCCATGCTAAGATAGCATCAGACCCTCAACTTAGCTTTCAGAGGGCTGGGGGTCAGAATCCATCCTTGACAAAGACCGCCTAGGCTAACTAGGATGTTGATGCAATCGCCCGGTTCCTCTTCATTATCTGCAAAGAGTGCCATCAGTCAGTTTCATGCCAGTCAACACTGATCTCTTCTGCAATGACAGCCTCCCCAAAAGCGCCATAACGTTCTGGTCGCTTGTTCCCAGTCTAACACTGGATGTTGTGGCCACTGTCATCCGTGGCACCTAGAAAACTGAAGAGACAAAGTGACTGTTGTGCCTGTAAGTGGTCACCCGCTCACAAACAACTTGACGGCTCAAAAATAACTGCTGCTACAATTTGGTGACGCACCTTGCCCAACATGCTCAGGGATGGATGCTCCACTATGCACGTGATTTCATAAGCTGTTTTGCGCCTTCAAAAACACAGTGTCATATAAGCACCAACAATGGCACTGTTCCCTCCGTTGTTGCGTGCCAACTGACCTTCTTATGGCGTTCCGCTCGCCATCTCCCTTTGGTGTCCGGCTCCCTGCTACGCCTCTGCAGTAACAAAATAAAACCAAGTCAACCAGATGCTGACAGATACCCTAACAAACAGTAAACCGTCACCATTCTGACTTCTTCATTCCACTAACCTTGTTAATCTGTGCTTTGCGCTCCAATCTGCCACGCTGAGTCAGTTACATCAAGTTAAAGAAAAAGAAAAATAGTAATACCCGTGTAAGTGTAATACCCGTAATAGGTGTACAGCCGTCCCCCTCCTTTCCCCCACCCCAGCAGCCACATGCCTGACTCACCCTTTC